CAGCCCCTGATTTCTTGCTTTTCTCCCCAGTGCGTATTCTGCAGAAAGGAGGCCAATTTTGGCTTTGATCAGATCATGTGTGGAGAGTGAGAGATGGCAATCGAAAGGTTGATGACTGAGATTTTGAATTGGGGGGTTTTAGGGCTTCTGCTGACCTCCCCCTATAAAAGAGGGTTGTTTGCTGATTGTGGGGGGATTTTTGGAGTGAGCCGACAGAGAGAAGAGAGAGTTTTCTGGGTTCTGATAGTAGGATTTCTTTGCAATCGAGCATATAGAACTCGAATTCGAAGTTGAAGAAATAAAATTTCATCTGTAATTCAACTCCCGACTAGCAATACAAAGAGGATTTCTACTCAGCCTCAGGTATTTCAATTTTTTTTTCGCGTAAAATAAAGTTTGGTTCTGAGGTCGAAGGACCGACCCAACATTGGGTCTCCTTTGATTTGGTTTTCTGCTTTGTTCAATATTCTATAATTTGCTTTTAGATTGGAAATTTATGGCTGTTTATCTAATCTTGAGGATATGAGTTTATGCTTTGTGTTTTATGGCTTGTTCCGAATTATTGTTCCGTTTGTCGATAAATTCTTCATTATGTTTGTTCTTGTGTGTTGAGAAGTAGTTAAGAATTGAGTTTCGGGGACCGACCCAACCTTGTGCCTCCCTAATTTGAGTTTGCTGCTTGTTTTACGTTGATCTAATTTTGATGTGTCGTTCCCGAGTCCTTAAAGAAGTTCATATTTGTAGCCAGAGATGAAGATCTTTTATTCAGTTGGGAGAAGCTTCGAGATATTGCTCAACAAATCCTCCATTTTGATATCAAGCCTCACAATATCTTGCTAGACCATAATTTCAATCCCAAGATCTCTGACTTCGGTCTGGCAAAGCTGTGTTCCAAGGAACAAAGTTCTATTTCTATGACAGTAGCCAGGGGAACAATGGGATATACCACCCGAGGTACCGTCTAAGAACTTAGGAAAGGTATCATATAAATCATGTGTTTATAATTTGGAATGCTATTTCTGGAAATGTTAGGAGGGAGGAAGAATATTGATGTCACAGTGGAGAGTACGAGCCAAGTTTATTTCCCAGCATGGGTGTATAATTGCTTGGACAAAGGAGAAGATTAGAATAGAAAATGAGGGACATGCCTAGATAGCAAGAAAGCTTACAATTGTTGGACTTCAGTGCATTCAGTGGTATCCGGCGAACCGTTCATCAATGAAAGCTGTGGTTCATACGTTGGAAGGGGAAGTCAACAGTTTGAAAGTGCCACCAAATCCCTTAGGCCATGCAGATGGAGTGCAGATCAGTGCCAACATCCCTGGAAGACCAATAAACATAGAATTAGTAGCAGTCTCTTACATAGAATTAGGGGCGTTCGTGACATGGTTTGGTTCAGATTTTAATATTTTTTAAATCAATTCAATTTAATCGATTAGTGAAATTTTTAAACAAATCTAATATACTATTATATAATAATCAAATTAATTTAACTTAAATTGAATCAATGTGGTTTGGTCACGTTATCAATTTTTAACACTATTAAATATATAAGATAATGTAAAAATATTTTAACATGTAGAAAATATGACTATAAAATACATTAACATCTAAATCAATAAAAACATAATATAATGTACAAATTATAACAAGTTCTTATACTCCTTTATAATTGTAAAAATTGAAAAGATCTGCAAATTATTCTTGGTTACATCACTAGAGGCACCAAGAATAATAAAACATGACTCCAAGTTTCAAGTACAATATAAATAATTCTCAAAGGTTAAAATTAGTTTTTTTTTCTTAATGCATTTATAATTTAATCACATCTTCCGAATCTTGTTAAAAGTGAATAAAATTTAACATGATTATCACTGAAATTGATTAAAAGCTGTTGTCTCCAAAATCTCCCTTTCTGGCCGCGTGGCAGATAAGACTGCGAAGGCGTGCCACTCACTTTGCTCAAAGTGAGAAAGAGGGATTCCTGGTGACCCTCACTATTTCCAAGCGTGGAACTCGGCTGCGAGTCGATGGAAGAGCACCGGTTAAATAAATTATGAGGTGCACCCTGGTCAGACGATTGTCACAGAAACGGGGGTGCATTCCTGGATAAAGGTCCATAAATAATTGCCTTGGAAGAACATCAGGGACTTCCCACAACTAGGGCCGAAATGTTAGTTTGTTGATTAAAATAAAAGAGGAAAATAAAGGAAAGGAGAAGAAAGAGAGTGCATGGCGAGAAAACTAAATTGCAAAGAGAAAGCGTGATGCCGCCGCGAAAGTATGAAAACGTAGAAAACGTAAAAAACGAAATAGAAGTTGAAGCATAAAACTAAACTTTAAAGAAACTAGAAAGATGAATTTTGGGGCAAAGTGCAGTAAATTGAATTGCAGGAAACTAAATATATCGGGAGATGTTCAAAACAAAATAACAAAAATCAGAGCTAAAACTAATGGCAGCGTAGAGCTAAAGACTTAACTAGGAAAGTTGTTTGAGGAAACTGGATCTAAACTAAGACATTACTTGAAAAACTAAAATTTAGATAGCGCTAGGCTAGTTGTGTGAAAGGCTGGTCTTCTTCGCTTCGTTTCTTCTTTGCATCTTTATAGCAATAAACACCCTTGGCAGCATGCTTGGAAATCTGTGGCAACAACTTGACAATCAACGGCAGCATGAAATCTGAAACAAACTGATTATTCTGTTGATTCTGCCAATTATTCTCCTGGAAGTTTGCAACAAACCAACAACCTTGCTGTAGTTGTGGAAATAACCACTCAACCTTATTCAGAGAGATTTACTCCAACAACTTTCAACTAATGAAATATCTGCCAACATGGATGACACGTGGCATCATTATACTATTTTGCAAAAATGGGTGTAAACAAAAGCATTCATAATTAAGATTTAAAACTTATCAACTAAATATCCAATAATAATAAAATATCAAGATTAATTCTACTATATAGTTTAAGACTTCTAGAATGATATATTTTTAAATCTTAGTTAGGAGAATCAGAATATTATTTTAAGAACAAATTAGAAATTTAGGGTTCTAAGAATAAAAGCCCAAGTAGTTCTGAAGAATAGAGTTGCAGATGAATTAGAAATTTAAAATTAGAGTTAGAGTGTATAATTAAAAAGGAAAAATAACTTGAGGAATATGGAGATGTTCTCTTTTATTTTTTAATTAAGTTAATGAAATTATTATCTTGTAAAACAAGAAAAAAAAATTTTAAATACTACCAAAAACATATTATATTATTTAATTAAGTTATATTATAATTGGATTTTATTTTGTAATTAGACAGTTCGGACGATTTAAAGGTAAAAGCACAAACCAAACCAATTATATCAGTTTTAAAATTTTATAATTCAATTTAACCTAATTTTATATCTATTTGGTTTGATTTTTTATTGGATTGGATCAATTTAGGTCGGATCAATTGAATTGGATCAAAAATGAACACCCCTACTTAGAATGGTAGAAAGTCTTTCTATTCTAGACTTCTTTTGTTTTCTATCTAAATAATTATACCACAAAATAAAAATTATAATAATTGAATCATATAGATCATAAATCCTTGAGAAGTAAACATGATCTTGACTAGTTTCGAGAAGATTGGTGCTAACATCACAAAAGAAGCCGTTTACAGATAACTAGCTTTTATTTCTGAATTAGAATGTTATAGGCTTACAACAATTCTTTTGAGTTCTACACTTTTAATCAACTTACTCCTCTGGCCCCAACTAGATCAAAATTTTTCTCTAGTCTACTCTTTTTATGAACTCTTCATGAATCCTTCAGGCTTTGATATTACATGATCTTAATCTCATTAGTTCTATTAATTTCTAGTTTAATAGAATGGGTAGTTAGAGTTTTTCCCCTTTTTAGTACTAGCTTTTTAAGTTTTTTAAAAAATGGAGAAATTTTGTTTACTTGTCATTTTCACAATTCCGTAGCTTTTAGTCTAAATAATTCATCACAATGCTATGATGTTCCCAAAATAAAATGCAGAAAAGGGCAGGACAGATGTTAACAAAATGAAGAGCCAAACTAAACATTCAAGTTTAGAGGGTCAGACAGATGATCCCCTATTTGAAGCAGTGTTTCAATTTTTGTAATGCAGAAGTCAAGCTTTTGGTAATTCATTTCCACTAACAAAGAGTTACCTTGCCTAAGACGAGTAATTCAACAAGACTAAAATCACAACACTTCTATTTTGTCAATTATGCAAGTGCATAGGCTATAACCTCATCCTCACTGCCAAAAAATGAAAAAAAGGCAAGTACATAAATCAGAGTACAATATTCATCTCTTTGATTCAAAGAATTATTTAAAAATAATTTGATACGGAAAGAAATTAAACTGTAAACTGGCCTTTAATTTACTGAATCAACAATGCAGAGTATGGGAAAGTGCAACACTTGCCTTGACTAAGCATTTATTTGCAATGCATTGGGAGTAGACCATTATATTCTATAGCATCACTGCAGGAATTTTATTGCTAGCATATGAAATTGGCAATTCAGAAGGAACTAAACAAGGCTTGGGTGGCATTTCGAGGACCTCAACTTTCACTTTCAAGCATCTCCAAAACTTTACTCATTGAAGGGTGAATAGCAGGTTTCATTTGTTTGCACCACAAGGCATCTATGACCATCTTCCTCACCAGATTCTTTTCATTATCTGTAACATCTCCTAACTCTATATCCTCTTCCTGATCAAATTGTTCATAAATCCATGTTGGAAAGTATATTTGACTGGATTAGTCAACAAATGCATTTATGTTCCTTTTCCCTCCCACCATTTCCATCAACAACATTCCTAAGCTATAAACATTGGCCTTATATGAGACACCTCCAATATTCTTATAGAATAATTTGAGAATCATGCATTCTAATGTACCTCTCATTGCATTGAGAGGTACAACACTGTCATCTACAGTTATAGTTTTGAAAAGCCAAAAATAGAAACTTTAGGATTAAAATTCTTGTCCAAACGGATATTGTGTGGTATTCACATCCTTGATGTAAGTATTCACTCCCCCTAGCCTCCCCATGAGCAATCTCAAACATTTTTTCCCAACCTAAAGATGTGTTACTGTCTCTTGAAAATATGATTTTATCCAAAGACCAATAGGCATGAAATCATATTCTAGAGCTTGTCGTGATCCTTCAACACAAATCCAATAAGTTGCATGATGTTAGCTTGATGAATCCTTCCCATCGTAACTATTGGGATTAGGCCCAACACCCACTGGCCCAAGATGAGGAGACATGCCCACGTGGGCAGTAACACGTGGACCAATCGGGTGAATACATGTTTGAGCTCATGTCAGCACTTAGGGCTATAAATCCCCCCCAACTACCTCCATGCAAGGGATTAACTCCACTACGCTTCTCTCTCTACAATTACTCTTTGAGAGCATCTCTCTCTAGAATATTGAGTATTGCTGACTTGAGCGTCGGAGTGTTTTCCCCGAGGAAATATCTTCAGGATTTTCAGGTGTGGAAGCAGCCGAAGACTTCAACAGTGTTGGATCGTGAAGCTACCCAAACATTTGGCGCCATCTATGGGAAACTGAACAAGAAGTTGTGTAGCTTAACCAGCTGAAAGACAAGATGGTTCGAACTTTTACAGGAAGTCGCCCTCTAAGAAATGAAATTGATGAACAGGAGGACACTCAACTATCTGAGCTCGGCATGAATGATTTTAGGCCAATGCCGAGAAACCTTTTTGTTGGGGGAGCCGAACAGGAGCAACTTAGCAGAACAAATGATGATGAAAGAACACCAACTGGGTACACAACCCAGCCTGAACAATTCCAAATTCCAACAAGAACAAGGCAGAGACGTCCCAGACTAGGCAATTCACAACAAGAACAACCTGAGAGGTCAACAGAACCTGCTCGGACAACCGAGCTCGAAGAGAGAACCAGAGTTCTCGAAATGGAAATGGGTAAAATCCTTGCCCGTCTGATCCCAGATGACCCCTTAATTCCTTTGTTGAATAGGGATGCACAGCCAGCTGCGGTTGTTGCAACTCGAAACTCCCCCGCTCTGAGCAATATAGTAGTGCCGACCAAACCAAGGGGAAGTGGGAGGTTGAATAACGAGCCTAGCTCGTCCAAACACAGTGAAGAACTGATGAGAAAGAATGCAGACCTTAAAAGGCAGCTATGGGACGTATAGAAATCCATCGACGAGCTGAGAAGTCCCAGATCGCACCAACAGACCCTTGATTTGGATAGTGCCCCACTAAACCTATCCATCATAGCGAAACCGTATTAAGAGGGATTCAAAATCCCCCACCTAGAGACATATGATGGCTCGAGTGACCCAGATGAACATTTGCACACCTATCAGGCCATCATGAGAATCCAAAATGCCAACGACGCCATGATGTGCAAAGTGTTCCCAACGACACTGAAGTCAACGGCCAGAAGATGGTATCATAAACTCCCCAGACACTCTATAGACTCATACTCCCAGCTCGCCAAGCTATTCTCCAACAAATTTGTGAGCCAAAGGGAGATCAAACGTATAGCGACCGAGCTGATGCAGGTTCATTAGAAAGAAGGGGAATCTCTGAGGGACTACATGCAGTGATTCAACAAGGCAACTTTAGACATTGATAACGTCCCCGATACCATTTGCTTGTCTGCCTTGCTGCATGGCTTGAAGTGTAGTTGGTTCCTAGACGACCTGCTAGAGAATCCACCTAAGTCGTGGAATGAAGTCAATGATAGGTCGGCTAGCTTCATACTGTTAGAAGACTTCCAATCGTCCAAGCGACGAGCTGATGATAAGCAGAGCAAAAGCCACGAAAAACCACCGAGGAGAGAGGAAAAGAAAAAGCAGAAAGTCAATGAGCAGTGGGGGGAGCCAGCTGACTTCCCGAAGTATGCTAACTACATCCCTTTGACCTTGCCAAGGTCTCAAATTCTAGCACAAATCCAGCACTGGATTAGAAGACCCCCACCCCCACTGCATGATCCCTAAAGGGCAGACAAGAGCAAGCATTGTGACTACCACCGTGCATATGGTCACAACACAGAAGACTGCCAACACTTGAAGGATGAGTTGGAGTTCTTAGCTCGCAATGGAAAATTAGAAGGATATGTACAGAAGCCCTACACCCAACAACCAACTCAAGCTCACTTTGTGCAGGGGTATGACTGACCTTAGGGGCAGAGGTATCAGCTCGGCAGCACACAGGATGTGTATCAAGACAACCAATATCCTTCCAAGCAAGGCAGAGCATGCAGGGGCCGTCAGTTCAATAGGCGAGGCCAAGGACAGAGAACTGCCACCCAGAACCAAAAAGACAGGAAAGAGGTAGGTTATGCTGGGATACGCCCGCCCTCGGGCACAATAAACATGATTTCAGGTGGTATACACTCCGGAGGCCAAAGCGCTCGGGGCCGTAAGGCATATGCCGGGCAGGTGATGATCATTAACAAGAACAGACCCTTGAAGTGGCCGTTCGAAGAGGCGAAGTGGGAGAATGCGGCCATTCCATTCAGCCCGGTAGAGTATAAGCGAGCAGAAGGAGAGCCCGAAGTTATGATGCCTCATGCACACCCTTTTGTGGCAACGATCCATATAGGCAATCATAACGTCAACAAGGTCTTCATTGATACTGGTAGCTCACCAGATATCCTATATTGGAGTTGCTTTCAAAAGATGCAACTGAATCCGAGCTCGCTGCAGAAGTATGAAGAGCCCATATATGGGTTTGATAACCAACCCGTCCCGGTTGAAGGAGTTATTACTCTTCCCATATATGTGGGCTCAGAACCACGCTTCAGGATGGCTTCTGTTAACTTTCTAGTTGTCAAGATGGAATTAGCTTTCAATACTATATTAGGAAGAGCCACCATGTGTGAGCTGAAGGCTGTTGTTTCACAACTCCATCTCTGTATGAAATTCCCAACTCCTCAGGGGGTAGGAGTGCTTAAGGAGAACCAGAAGATGGTCAAAGCCTGCTATCAAGATACATTCAAGAAGGTTGAGCTCGCTGCAGCCCCGAGAGACTCTTCTGAAAGTCATAGGCCGACTCAACTCGGTCAGCAGACAATGAGCATATCGGATATCGAGCATCGACCTGAGGGTGTTGAGCAGAAAGCTGAGCCAGTGGAACCAATGGAAACAGTGGAAACAGTCCCCCTAAACCCTGATGTGTCGGAAAGAACAGTTAAGATCAGCATCAAGCTCACAGAAGAGGAGCGAGTAGAGCTTCTGAAGTTTTTAAGGGTTAATCAAGATGTGTTTGCATGGACTACGGATGAAATGCCTGGCATTCCAGCAGAGTTGACAGTCCATAAGCTTAGCACGGACCCCACCAAAAGGCCGGTGGTTCAGAAGCGTCGCCTTTTTGGCCCTAAGAAGCAAGCTGCTATAGACGAAGAAATAAAAAAGCTATTACCAAGGTTTTGAAAATCGGACCGGATCGGCCGTTGAATCGGTACCCGGTAGTATAAACGATTCGGTTCTATCCTTTAAACCGTTTGAAGATCAAACCATTTGAAAACCGATAAGAACCGTTGGAACCACTCAAACCAAAAAACCGTTCGACCGGACGGTTCAATGCTTGAGAACAAAAGCTTGAGAAATTTGTCCCCCATGAAGCTTGAACTTGCAACCTTGAAGTCCTTTTAGTTTATTCCAACCCTTTGCCACCAAGACAATGCACTCTATTTGTCAATGGATGCTTGCAATTTTATTTAGTCTATTTTTAAAACCATAATTATTTAAAGTTTGTTCACACGGGTACTCGAACTTGTGATCTTTGGTATGAGAAAGCAACCACCTACCATCGCACTCAATGGATATGTTATGAAATACTTTACAAAATAATATATTTATACTATATTAATGAATCGGCGGTTTTACCGGTTAAACCGATCAAATCGTGAACCGGAGGTCAAAACGGTTTGACCTCCGGTTCGGGTTTAAAAACATTGGCTATAACAAGCAGGCTTCATCAGGAGAGTCGAATACTCTGAGTGGGTGTCCAACCCTGTGCTCGTCAAGAAACCAAACAACAAGTGAAGGATGTGCATTGATTTCACCAACTTAAATGAGGCGTGTCCAAAAGACCCTCACCCCTTACCAAATGTTGAGAAGCTGGTAGAGCGAGCAGCCGGGCATGAACGAATGAGTTTTCTTGATGCCAACTCAGGTTATCACCAGGTTCAACTGTTGTTGGACAACTAGGAGAAAACAGCTTTTTATGTTGGTGACGCAATCTACTACTATATCATGATGTCGTTTGACCTGAAAAATGCTAGCGCAACATATCAGAAGCTGGTGCAAATCATCATTTCAGGAACATAGAAGTATATGTGGACGACATGATAGTCACCAATGTGCGAGCTAAGGATCATATAGACGACATGAGTGTGACTTTTTAGAACTTGCGCCGAGCCCAAAAATGAAGTTGAATCTCCTGAAATGCACATTCACTGTAGAATCAGGAAAATTCCTAGGATAAGTGGTATCCAAGAAAGGAATTGAGGTAAATCCAGAGAAGGTTCAAGCCGTTCAGCAGATGGAGCCGCCCAGGACTGTAAAAGATGTGCAGCGTCTAACGGGTCGTGTTGCTGCGCTGCATAAGTTCATAGCCAGGTCGGCAGAAAGATGCCTCCCGTTCTTTAATGCCCTGAGAGAGCCCAAGAACTTTCAGTGGACAGATGAATGTCAACAGGCGTTTGATGAGCTTAAACAATATCTGGCATCAGCACCCATACTGTCTAAACCCGTGGAAAGGAAGAGTTTATACCTGTATCTGGGGGTCACAAAGGAGGCAGTAAGTTTGGTTTTGCTAAGGAAAGAAAATAAGCATCAGAAGCCTACCTGCTATGTGAGCAAGGTTTTACAAGGCGCAGAACAGAATTATCCACTAGCAGAAAAGGCTACTTTTGCCCTGGTCTACACGGCTCGAAAATTGAGAGCTTACTTCCAATCACATCAAATTGTTGTTTATACCGATCTGCCGTTGAGAAAGATACTGCAGAAGCCTGAACTCTCTGGTCGGCTTATCGAGTGGAGCATCAAGCTGAGTGAGTATGACCTCAAATTTCAGCCGCGCACAACCATAAAAGGCCAAGCAGTGGCGGACTTCCTAGTGGAGTGCCTTTCGGTGACTGTCGGAGATAAGGCACCCGAACACCCAGTCTGGGTCTTGTATGTAGATGGGGCTGCTAACATTGAAGGATCAGGTGCTGGGGCTGTGTTAGTGGGCCCAGATGGCTTTAAATTCAAGCATGCATTAAGATTTAAGTTTCAGACTACTAATTATGCTGCAGAATATGAAGCCCTCATTTATGGCTTAAAGCTGGCATCCGAGCTGAAAGTGCAGAGCATTAAGGTGCTTAGTGATTCTTAGCTCGTGGTGGGCCAAGTGAATGGCAGCTGTGAAATCAAGGATCCTCAGCTTGGTCGTTATGCCTCTGTGGTCAACAGATTGAAGTCAAGATTTGCCTCTTTCTAGATCGACAAGATACCCAGAGCAGATAACCAACGAGCTGACGAGCTATCAAAAGTAGCCTCCTCGCAAGATATCAACCCTCAGAGGTCAACAATTGTGGAGGTACTTGACACCCCGAGCTACACCGATTTCACAATTGAGTGTCAGCTACTAAGCACAGATCCCTTTTCACCGAGCTGGACTACCCCGCTCATAGATTATCTGCAAAGTGGCGAGCTGCCTGAAGATCCGTCTGCTGCAAAGTTGATTAAACGCAGGGCGGCACATTTCACCTTGTTAGATAATCAGCTCTACAAACAAGCAGCCTCAATGCCCCTATTACGCTGCCTTACTCTTTATGAAGCTGAATACGCTGTGAGGGAAGTTCATGGAAGAGTATGTGGCACACATATAGGTGGTAGAACTTTAGCTCGGAAACTCCTGAGGCATGGTTATTACTGGCCTACTATGGTTGAGGACACACAGAGCTATGTCAAAAAGTGCCCGACCTACCAGTTCAATGCTGATGATATTCACATGCCAGGTATCTGAGCTCATTATAAAGTTCGTGCAAACTTCATGTTTGTCTATAAACTGAGCATAAATATCTTTGTTGAAACAAGAGAAATGCTCTCATCACTCTCATCTCCCTGGCCTTTTGCTCAATGGGGAGTCAACCTGCTCGGACCTTTTGTGAATGGCAAAGGAGGTTGCACATACCTAGTTGTCGCAGTGGATTACTTCACGAAATGGATAGAAGCCAAATCCTTATCCACGACAACAGAGAAGAAAATAGAGGAATTCTTGTTCAATTCAATATTATGCAGGTATTCTTTGGTGGCTTAAGCCATTTGTACATTATATGCAAATATAATTTGTGGCTCAACTCGGTCATCTGTGTACAGGTTTGGCATACCTAAACGGATCATCGCTGACAATGGTCCACAGTTCTGAGCTGCGACATTGAGGTCGTTCTGTAACGACTATGGCATTGAGCTCGCCTTGACATCTGTGTATACTCCACAGTCAAATGGACAAGCCGAGTCCGCCAATAAAATCGTCTTGCGAGGCCTCAAGATGCGTGTTTTAGCTGCACATTCTAATTAGGTTGACGAGCTCAATAAAGTGCTTTGGTCATGTCGCACTACACCCAGATCGGCCACAGGCGAAACCTCATTCAGCCTCGCCTATAAAGCTAAGGCCGTCATCCCTGTAGAGGTCAGATTACCATCTGATATAGCAGGTCGGCACAACGATCCTAACAATGAGCAACTTTTAAGAGAGAACCTAGACCTTGTGGAAGAGGTCAGGGAGATGTCTCGAATAAGAAACATGGCACATCAAAGTCGTGTCGCTAGATTTTATAATAAGCGAGTCCGAGCTCGTCAATTTCAAGTTGGTGATCTGGTTTTGCCCAAGGCTGGGCTCACTAATGCTTACTCACATATGGGGAAACTTGCACTGAACTGGGAGGTCCCTATATGGTTGTTCAAGTTAAGCGACCTGGATCCTATGTGTTGGCAGATCTACAAGGTCGTCCGTTACCATTCATTTGGAACATACATAACCTTAGAAAGTTTTATAGTTAACATTTCGATGTTGTTATCTTCATTCAAGATTATTGTCAATCAAATGTAAAGGACAATGTATAGAACAACACGCAGCAATATACACAGAAATTTCAAAGGAAAGAGTTCAAGTTTGTATTTCATCAATGATTTTTACATTAGAAGTACATAAAGAATGAGTTCATTGATCAACACAAAGACGCAAAAGTAGTACAAAAAAGAAAAGAAAAATCCTAAGCTAATCATCCGTCAGGTCAACGGGGACGCTCACGTCCATGCGAGCAGCATCAGATCGAGCTGGAGATGACCGATCTAAAGGAGAGAGAGCAGGAGCAGCGATTGGGGCGGGCTGAGGCAGAGAAGATGGGGGAGTGCCGCAAGGCTCAGCAGCTACCTCTTGGGGCTCTGCCACCCAAGCGTCGAAGCTTGGTAATCCCTCTACTTCCCCCTCTTCAATAATAAAAGGGGGCCACACGGGCAACTCCTCTTCGTCGAGCTCCCATTTTAGCCTCACCCAAGTGTCAGCTGGAGGGGCGAGGCTTTTTCCTTCATCATCGATATCCTCGCCCTCAAAAAAGGCCAGCTCGCCAATGGGGAAGTCAGGCCGATGTCGCAGCACCTTTCCACGAACTTCATTGAAAATGTTGGTGGTGGTGTTGGCCGTGGCAACTGCGACGGCGTCCTGGAACATATCTGCTCCCACCAGCCACTCTGCCCCTTGTGCATGAGCAAAACAAATGTTGCGTTGGTGGACCCTCTTTGTCTTCTCCAAGGACGCCTCAGCCCAGGCGACATACAGGTCAGCATTCACGACCCTCTCCTTCAGGGCGTTGAGCTCGTGCAGGGTCTTCTCTCTGTCAGCCTCTGCTTTCTTGGCTTGGTCCTCTGCATGGCCGGCCTCTTCCCTCGCAGCTTGAATGCCGCTCTCTTTCTCTGCCTAAGCTCTTTCGAGCTCCTATCTCAACTCGTTAACCTTGCGGGCCAACTCGTCAGCTTGACTCTCTGCTGACGCCGCCCGATTTGCCATCTCCGAGCTCTGCAAACGACTGACCTCGTCAGCCAAACTAGCTTTCTCAGAGGCCAGTTGTTTGCAGTTCTGTTGAAGTTCACGGTTCTGCACTCGCGCTCCCTGCTCGCACTCTAAGAGTGCAACAGTTTAGCTGAACACCTGCCATAGACATTCACTCGTTAGTTTGTAACATAAAATGATAAGAGTACTACAATGAGCTCGGCGAGTATACTTACATCCATCAGTTTTAGAAGAGCAGCATGACCTCCATGCTACTAGACGTGCCCCTTAGCACGTTGCCGATTTGCAGGAGGCACGAAACTCCGCATACCCTGCACCATAGCGGCCTGGCAATTAGTTTTGACATAACTGAAGCCATTCGGGTATGCAATTCTTGGCCCCGCTACAGACAACGAGGCAAGTGTCGGTTCAACGACCTCCCGTGCTAGCGTCGGGGGCACGTTGGTAGGTCGTGCTGCGGTGGCTGGAGCGGGCTGAGATCCCGTGCTCGTCCTTCACAGGATAAGGGGAATATCATCCTCGGCGTTAGAGTCTTCCCGCGCGCGCCTTCTTGAACTGGAGGGCACAACTTCAACTCTCTACTCGGTATGTGGTCTTGGTGCCGAGCTCGAACCTCGGTGGGATGAACTGCGCCCTGGTGCAGCAGGTGGCCGCTCGTTAAAATGAGTTTAAAGTTGGGAATCAGACCCAGCTCCACGATTCCTTGAGCCTTGTGCTCGTTGGCGCTGCCTCTCAAGTATGCTACTCATTTCCCCTTCACAAACAAATATATAAGACTCAGCTCCGCTAGAATTCATACCATATGATAAAAGTATACCTTCTGTGAACTGGTTGCCACGTCAACAAACCAGAACACGACGAGCTGCTCCGAGGTAACCAGGGCTTCTAAGTTTATCAAATTCTCCCTCCTCGCATACTCAAGCAGCTGATTTTTCAAATTTGTATCCCGCGGCAGCAGCTGGGGGTAATTAACGTGTGCATTCGACACGCGCCATTAAGAGAGTCAAGCAGCGAGGACATTGCTTATTCTTTCTGTTCGCATATCACGAACAAAGACAAACTGCCTCTTCCACCTCGCCACTTTATTCCTCACATTTTTTAAGAGCTGGCTCTTCTCCCTCCCAGAGAGGTAGTACCACTTCGCACTTCTGGAGTTTGGGCACAGCTGACACTGGAACAGCGACCTGAACACTATCGCCTTGGCCGATACCTCCAACCTCGCACACAACAGTATAAAGCCTATGATGAACCTTATGCTGTTGGGCGTCAGCTGCGTCAAAACTAGCTCGTAATCCCCCAACAGATCAAATATCAGCCTGGGAAAGGGAAATCGCAGGCCAACGTCAAAGTGATCCACGTACACTGGTATCTAGCCTGTTTGTGACACCGTGCAAGCCCTCTCATTCTTTGTGCCAGCTCGGAGCAGTATCGTTCTAGGGATCTGGTACGACCTCACCATTTCCTCTAGTTTCTTATACCCACTTATTGAGGGCGCCCTGTTTGCTACTTCATGATGAAGCGCCGCCCTGAATCTAAATCCAGCGGGCAGGTCCTTTGGTGCCTTGCGTAGGTTACTCAATCTACTCCTGATTACCCTATTTTCCCATTCTTCAACCACGGGCAGATTTGGTTCATTGCCAACCACATTCCCCGTCTCTTCCTCACGGCTGGGTGTCTCTTCAGAGGGCGAGTTGCTGGACGGTGAAGTGTGGTGGTCGCCACCCTCTAGTGCACTTGAACTAGCACTGCTCTCGGGTGTAAGGGTTTCTGGCAAGTCTTGCAGTTCCAGTGGTACAATCATGGCAATCGGCTCTACGGACATCACACACTCTCCCTCTTCTATACCCTGGTTACCCCGGAGTTCTCCAACTTCTCTAACATATTCCATTTGTTATTACCTGAAAAAATCGACTGTGAAATCCTCTAGAAATGTCACCTGAAAAGCTTGGGAGTCCTTTGCTGCAGACAAGTGTAGAGAATATGGAAACACAAATGCCAAAGAGAAAACAGAAGTGACAAGGTTAAATGCTAAATTTAGTCCCTCAACTTTACAAAATGAACATTTTTGGTCCCTTAACAATTTTTTGCATTTTTTTGATCCCTTAACTCTAAAAATTGCACAGTTTTGGTCCCTCCGTCAGTTAAGTATGAGGTGGCAGTTAAATAATTTTAT